TGCCAGCTTGAGGCCAGTCTGAGCTACAGATAATCTGCTGCTTGAGATACTAAAAACCAAAATGCCCATCCCCCTGAAACAGGTGTAGTTTAGTGGTAAAGTGCTTGCCTAAAATGCATTAATCACTACTACTACACAATCATACATAAAAAATTAAAAACTCAAATTATATATAGTTTATAGTGAAATAATCTGAGAGCTCTGGTTTAATAGATTCTCTCAAAGTCCTCCCAAACCTGGAGACTGGAAATGATGGAATGGCATTCCTTAATGTTTCAGTGCCCTTGTAGCAAGCTTTGCTCCTCCACACAAATTCCTGCTGTCACTGTGCTTAGGACTTCAGATAGTCATCCTTAAGGTGAGGGGAACTATGGATGACTTCAAGTAAAGAAATAGCATTTCAAATACTACTGTGACCAAGTAAGGCAGATTTTTAGAAGTTGAGAGGTGTCAGTGACGTGAAGTAGGAAAAGACTTATTTCCTCCTGCCAGAAAATGGTTAGAGTGGTAACTAAAAGCACTGACAGGGAGAACAAAATAGAAAGGAATGAAGACTAGGAGTTGGAATTATTGGGACTGAATAGTGATTCTAATTCCACATTTGAAGAAGAGTTGGACATTTTAGATTCAGCGATGTGGCTAGTTCATTTCAGATTCAGTGATGTAGGTAAGTAGCTCAGATCACACAGCTTGAAAGTGGTGGAACTTTAGTTCCTACTCCATCAACTGGCAATGCTCTTTACCCACCTCTGTCATCTTATTGTATTAGTCAGCCACATTTCTACCTTAGCAGTTGGGGACAAAGGTATTAGGTATGAAGGGAGAGGGATGTTAGGGTGGCTGAGTCAGTAGCTCTGCCATTGAAATAGGAGTACAGCAAGGGACCATTGCTGGATGAGAAGGGAGGTTTGGTATAGCCTTGAGCATTTTTGTTTAAGATCTGTGTGCCAACCACTAAGAAATATCTGGTAGATTCTTGGGAGGATAGTGTTCAGGAAAAGTATAGCCTGAAGTGAAAATTGAGAAACATCAACTAAATATGAAATGGCCTAGGGAAAGTATGGAGCATTGTTGTTTCATGTGTTTACTATATTTTGTGTATAGGTGTTTTGTGTGTATGTTTGCATATCATGTGCATGCCTGGTACCTTCAGAGGTTTCTGAGGGCATCAGATTCTCTGGGACTGGAGTTTTGGCTGGTTGTGAACCACCATGTGGGTATTGGGAATAAAGTACTGGAAGAGCAGCCAGTGCTCTTAGCCACCAAGCCATCTTTCCATCCCCAAGATCCTGTTTCAAAAACAAAAATCAAGAGAGAATGAAGGGCTGATTAATTTGAAAGAAGGTGGTGTTATAAATACTTCAAGAGGTTGGAATTTGAAGTAGGAAATGCTGAGGAGACATTAAGGAAGATGGAGCCTAAAGAGCATCCTATAGACTTGGCAAGGTAGCAGTCAACAGGGGATAGCGAGAGAGAGGGAGGGAGGGAGGGGAGGGGGAAGGGGAGGAAGGGGGAGGGAGGGAAGGGAGGAGGGGGAGGGAGGGAAGAAAGGAGGGAGGGAGGAAAAGAGGGAAGGGGAGAGAGGGATGGAGGGAGAGAGGGAGACCTGAGAGTAGTGAAATAGTTTTCTGATAATTCGGAGCCAGAATCTAGTGTAGTTTGCTAGTGAGGCTACTCTTTTGATATGCTTGTGATGTCAGGAAATGGGTACCTTCAGTGATGGCTGCCACTAGGAAGAGGAAGTTGGTAGCTGTTCCTGAATTTCACTGACTACCTTTTCATCAGTTTTTGTTTTTCTTTCACTTTGTCATATTTTCTTTGTTGTTGTTTTGAGAATTGGTCTCACACTGTAGTCTTGGCTGTCCTGGAACTTGTATTTAGACCAGAGTAGCTTTGCACTCAGAGAGATGTCAGCCTCTACCTCACAAGTGCTGAGATTTTTAGTTACTTTTTCTCCTTTATTTGAAAACCATTAACTCTTTTTTTTTTTTTTTTTGGTTTTTCGAGACAGGGTTTCTCTGTGTAGCCCTGGCTGTCCTGGAACTCACGCTGTAGACCAGGCTAGCCTTGAACTCTCGAACTCAGAAATCCGCCTGCCTCTGCCTCCCAAGTGCTGGGATTAAAGGCGTGCGCCACCACCGCCCGGCTGAAAACCATTAACTCTTAAGAATATATAAGATGGTGGTACATATCTTTAATCTCAGCATTTTGGAGGAGGGGGATCTCTGTAAATTCAAGTCCAGGTGGTCTATATAGCAAACTCTAGGTCAACAGGGTCTATACAGTGAGACTCTAGTTCAACAACAAACAACAACAGAATGTATTAGTTAATCAGGACAGGCACAATGGTGTAATGGGTAAAAGTGCCTGATCTGCAGGCCTGATGATCTGAGATTAACTCCTAAGTCTCACAGTGAAAGGAGAAGTTGAGTCCACAGAATCGTACTCTGACACCTACTGGTTCACTTCCTCATGCACATACACAAAATAATGATAAAGATGAAATTTAAGAACTATATTATTCAATGAATTAAAATATTTTATAGTGAAATATAGAAATGATCAGTTTTCTATTTTTTTTGTCCTGTGGTGGTTATTGCTCAGATATGATCATTATTCTTTGTTTATACATCTGTTCTCTCTTTAGACTGCAGGCTCTTGGAGAGTAGAGTGTCTATGCTGTAGAGTGTCTCCAGGCCTTTGTGTAAGAGCATGACATATAGCGGATTCTGATTAGTATTTAGTGAACTGATGATTCGTATCCTTTCTCTTGCTTATAGGACTTTTAAAGAGGATAAGATGTCTCCTCATGAAAGGCTAGCATCATGTAACAGGTTTAATCTCAAGGAATGGAACCTTATCTTTTAAAATTATTATCATCATCATCATCATCATTAGTGAGTCTGTGTATGTTCTAGGATTGAAAGATATGTTTATTGATCAGAGGACAACTTTGTAGAGTTGGTTCTCTCTCCTCCCTTACATGGGTTTTGGGGGTTGAAATCAGACCACCAGGCTTTTATATAGCAATACCTTATCAGTTCAGCTGTCTTGTCAGTTTTTCACTTTTTATTCCAAGATTTATTTATTTTTATTTTATATATATAGTTGTTTTGCCTACATTCTTGGCATGTATCTCAGATTCCTGGTCTTTCTAGCTCTGAGATGAAATCTTGTACATTTTGGTCTTTTTCTTCACCAGTTTTACCTCATTTCACAGTGTATTCATGTCTGTCTGTGTACCATATGCATGCAGTGCCTGTGGGGAGTCCAGAAGAGGGCATTGGCCTCTCTGGAACTGAAATTACAGTTGTTAGCCACTGTGTAGATGCTGGAAACCAAGCCTGGGTCCTTTAGGAGAGCTTAACTGATGAGCCATCTCCCTTCCCTCCTCTTTCTTTGTTTTTGTTTCTGTTTTTGTTGTTGTTTGTTTTTTATTTTTTGTTTTTGAGATAGGGTTTCTCTGTGTAGTCCTGGAATTCACTTTGTAGAGCAGATAGGCCTCCAGAGACAGATCTGCCTTGCCTCTGCCTTCCAAGCGCTGGAATTAAAGGCACCCCGCCTCCTTCCCTTCTTTTAATGCAGCGTATCTTATAGCTCAAGCGGCCTTGAACTCTGTGGGTAGCTGGGGCGACCAAGGATGACTCCTGATTCCCTTAAGTCACCATCTTAAGTTCAGGGATTACAGATGTGTCAATGTTTGGTAAGCTCGTTTGTTGTCTGCAGTTTTAAAGAGAGGTCCAGTTAGGAGGGGGTTCTGGGAGTGTGGCCGTGGCTAATCCCTGAATTCCAGCCTTTCTTTTCAGCTCTGAAATATAATCTTCTACACTTTCGTCTTTTTCTTCATTAGTTTAACCTCATCTCACATTGTTAAACATTTAGAAGTAAAATGGTTAAAAATGTTAAAAAAAGATTTAAATCTTCTACATTTTGTTTTTTTCTCACTAGTTTAACCTCATTTCACATTGTTAAATGTTTAGAACTAAAATGGTTAAAAACTTTTAAAAAAGATTTATCATGCTGAGTGTACACCATTAATTTCAGTTCTTGGGAGCTCTGCAGAGGTAATCAGATCTCTGTGAGTGCCAGGCTACTTTGGTTTATACTGTGAGTTCCAGCCAGCCAGAGCTAGATAGTGAAATCTTGTCTCAAAAAAAGAATTTTGTTTTATTTTTGTGTCTTTATAAGTACAACATATGTGTGCAGTGGATAGTGGACACCAGGGAGAGCATTAGATTCCCTGGAGCTGGAGTAGCAGTTGTGAGCTACTCAATGAGCAGGGACCAAACTTAGGTCTTTGGAAAAGTACAAGAGCTCTTAAATATTGTGCCGTTTCTCCAGCCCCTAATGTATGTATGTATGTATGTATGTATGTATGTACGTATGTATGTATGCATGTATATATGCATGTATATATATATATATGTGTGTGTGTGTGTATGTTGTTTTCTTAGATGGTCTCATTGTGTAACCCCAGGTGATCTGGAATATATAGACCACGATGGCCTGGAACTCACAGAGTTCTGCCCACATCTGCTTCTCAAGTATTAGAATTAAAGGTATATGCCACCATATCTGGCATAAATCCATATGTGGCATAAATTGATGTTTGAAGAATAATACAGAGTCCTTTCAGCCTTTAATTTTGGCTTTAGCTCTAAAGAAGCTAGATTATTTACCAGTGGGAGGCAGAAGCATGTGGATCTCTGTGAGTTTGATCTAAGCCAGCCAGGGCTACATAGAAAGTTCTAGGCCAGCCAGAGCTATATAGTAAGACCCTGTCTCAAAAGAAGAAGAAAAGAAGGAGGAGGAAGAGGAGGAGGAGGAGGAGGAGAAGGAGGAGAAGGAGGAGGAAGAAGAAGAGGAGGAGGAGGAAGAAGAGGAGGAGGAGGAAGAGGAGGAGGAGGAGGAATCATTTTCTTGGCTTAGCTCTGAGAGATTTAATTTTTTTAAGAATAAAATGTATGACCTCCTAATTTACAATTGTGATTTTACTGCAGGATAAAGAAGAAAACAGGGAAGGAGCAAAGCACTGAGTACACATGTGATAATAATGAGCAAATGTGGCAGGAAAAAGTATATGAGGACAAATGTAAGGTAGGTGGATATATTTTCTTGTTCTTTAGAAGGTCTTGCCTAGAGCTGAAAATTCCAGTGATAACCAGATTGGTGGTACTTGTAGGCACACAGGTCTGTATGTGTGAATGTATATATGTTGTGATAACATGTACTCACATCACTTAGCCATACAACTAAGGCCTTCAGGATCTACTTTGTGCTCTGCATAGTAGAGTAGGGGATGAAGCTGAAATGGGTGTTCACATTTGGCTTTGCTGAGTATTGGTGGCATCCTCAGCCAAAAGTAGAGATGCTGTCTGTATGTGGATAGTTTGGGGGAATTACAGAATTAGAGGAATCCTCAGGGTCTATATTAGTCAGGGTTCTCTAGAGTCACAGAACTTATGAGTAGTCTTTATATAGTAAGGGAATTTATTGATGACTTACAGTCTGTAGTCCAACTCCACAACAATGGTCAGCAGCAGCAGCAGCTGTGAATGGAAGTCCAAGGATCTAGCAGTTGCTCAGTCCCACAGGGCAGGAAGGTGAAGAAGAGCAATCTTCCTTCTTCCAATGTCCTTATGTAGGTCTCCAGCAGAGGGTGTGGCCCAGATTAAAGGTATGTACCAACACGTCTGGATCTGGGACTTGCTTTGTCCCAGATGACCTTGAACTCATTCAGAGATCTCCTTGGGATTCATAGCCACTGTGCCTCAAGATTTCCATGCCAAGATCCAGGTCAGAAATTTGTATCCCTCAGCCTCAAGATCAGGATCACAAGTGAGCCTTCCAATTCTGGATTGTAGTTCATTCCAGATATAGTCAAGTTGACAACCAGGAATCACCACTACAGGGTCTGAGGAATCTTCCTTGCTATTATACTTGAAAAGGAGAAAAAAATCTCCACAGTGTTTTACAAATCAGAAATCTTCAAGTTTTCTTTTGGTTATCCTCAGAAAATAGTCTGTTTATCATCAGTCAGATTTATCTCTACAGAGAACATAAATTTTTTTATGCCTTTTTGGTAAAGCTGCTTGGAAATAAGAACACATTTTGGTGCAGGCCAAATGTAGCTCAGTTGATGAGTGCTTACCTAGCATGCATGAAGCCCCAAGTTCTAGCCTTAGCAGCACACACAAACTGGGCATGATGGTACAGGCCTCCACATGGAATGAAGAGTTCAAGGTCATCTTGGGCTCCATACCAAATTTGAGACCAGACTGGGCTACCTAAGACCTAATATTAAATGGGGAGGGGCATTAATCAGTTGTTTTCTCTTCTTCAAGGGTCATTTACTCATTTACCAGCTTAATGTGAGTTTTATAAGTTGGAAAGACCTCAACCTACATGTTTACTAGTTAACTGAACACTTTAATTATAGTTTTAAAGCTGTCTTTTTTTTAGTTAATATCTGTGAACTGTGATTCTTTTTCTCTTCTTTGATCCCAACTTTTAAAAATTGTTTCTTGGGTGCCCCGATAGCTTTTTTAAAAATGTTTTTTTCCTTTTTTTATTTTGCCTACATAGTCTTCAATATGCTGCTCGAGTGGCTCCACCCTCAGCAGCCATTATCATTTCTGCCTGTGTTCGAAAAACATCTCATATGTAGCATGCTCCACATAGTTTAACAAGTTTCTTGCCCTTGGCTTTATGGTAGGACTGTGATCTCAGCACTTGGGAGGCTGGGACTCACAAGTTCAAAGCCAGCCTGGCCTACACAGTAAGATCTCATCTCACAAAAAGCACCTTCCACTTCATTCCCATCCACACATACATCAGATACTGTGATGGAAGGTGATAAGAAAAGAGAGTGTGTGTGTGTGTGTGTGTGTGTGTGTGTGTGTGTGTGTGTCAGAGAACCACTTGATTCTATTGAGTTGTTTAGTCTGTACCATCTTGGAGACTGAACTCCAATCATCAGGCTTGGCAGCAGGCACTAAATATAATTCCCATAAAATATATTACAGTACTTCCTTAGCATCCTTTGAATTTATTGAGCAGAGAAATAATGTCAGAGTATTAAGGCTCTACTACAAAACCTATTTCTTACAAAAAAAAAAAAAAGTAGTATAGGTGGCTGCCAGAAGTAAATATCAGAAAGGTAGGTAGAAGTAGTAGTCAGTATTTCTAGATCATTCAGTTATTGCCTTAATGGGTTTTTCTTTTTGTCTTTTAGGCAAATGACCATGGAAACAGTTGAATCCCAGCAGGATCGAAGTGTAACACATTCTGTGGCAGAGCATAGCTCTGCTCATATGCAGACTGGACACATTTCTGTTCCTACTCTAGCTCAGGTAGGCCATAGGCAGATACAATGAAAGTTTAAATAGATGGAAATGAGAATTGTGTGAAGTTTTTTTTTTCAGTTATCTTAAATACAGCCTATATTTATTGATTTTACTTTGATGAGAAGCCTTTTTTTTTTTTTAAGGTTTTTCGAGACAGGGTTTCTCTGTGTAGTCCTGGCTGTCCTGGAACTCACTCTGTAGACCAGGCTGGCCTCAAACTCAGAAATCCGCCAGCCTCTGCCTCCCAAGTGCTGGGATCAAAGGTGTGCGCCACCACCACCCGGCGATGAGAAGACATTTTTGCATTGTAACATATACTTGACAATACCGTTGACCCCTGACACAAACTCCTATGTACAATAGAAACTCCAAGTTATTACTTGACTGGTTTGCTAATTCCAAATATATACAGTTCTAATATCATAGTTATTAAAGTTTGTAGAAATATTTTGTTTGCCTACTATGTATTTATCTTGATCTTTACTTTCCTATCAGTTCTTTGAGAATTTTGTACACATTTTGGTCATATTTACCCTTCCAACCCCTCCAGTTTCAACCCTGCTTTCCCTACCTTTCCAGTAATGTTTTTTTTCTTTTTTGAAACTGGACCTAACTGTGTAGTCCTGACTGGCCTGGAGCCTACCATGTAGACCAGCCTAGTCTTGAATCCACAGAGATCCACTTGCCTCTGCCTCCTGAGTGCTGAGATTAAAGTGGACATCACCACATCCAGCCATTTCTACAGTCTCTTAGCCTCTGTACCTCTGCCCGTTGTAGGCATCTGTCGATTTTCACCTATTACAAGTAGAAGCTTCTCTGATCAGGGTCGAAAGCTGCATTAATTTATGGGTATAATGTTAAATCATCAGGAGATAGTTTAATACTATGTCCATTTAACAGCAGAATGGTAGTAGGTTCTTCCCTAGGTACTATGATTTGTCTAGCAAAAGTGCTAGGTATAGCTTCATCTTAGCCAGCAGGTCTTAAATTTAACCAGAAAGTGGTTGTTTGCTTCTTTAATCTTTATGCCACTAGTGTACCAGTGAACATGTCTTGCCAGGTCAATCACTATTGTAACTTGCACAGTTCACAGTTGGTTAAGACTGATGATTATTTTTTCTCCTCTAGTAACATGAGTAGCACTTTGCAGCATATTGAAGCTAGTCAGTAGGGATAAAGCTTTCATGTCACTACTAGATTGGTATCTCCATGTTGTATGATTCTACTATGTGACATTTTAGCAATAGAGTTTTCTATCTTGTTTTATAAGATAACCAAGAACATTGGCAGTAGTTATCTGTAGGTTCTGTTGGGTCTCACTTGTCAACAACTCCAAGAGAGCTAATCCATTCCTAGTACTGGGGTTATCTTAGTTACTACTGTCCTATTGCTGTGAAGAGACACCCTGACAAAGGAAACTTAGAAAGTACTTAATTTGGAGTTTGCTTACAGTTGTAGAGGGTTATTAGTCCATGATCATCATGGCAGAAAGCATGGGCCCAGGCTGGCAGGCATGGTGCTGAAGCTGTAGCTGAGTGTTTTATATCCTGATCTTTAGGCTCCAGACAGAGAATGAGACTGGCCTGTGTAGGCTTCTGAAACCAAGTTTACCACCAGTGACACATACCAACAAGGCCGAACCTCCTAATCCTTCCTGTTTACTGACTAGTTTGCAGCATGAACCTGGGCATGGGCATGGGCAGGGCCTAAAACTAAGGTTGACTGAAGTTCCCTTCAATAGCCAACTTTATTCAGAGCATCAGATAATTTATACTCTGAGGGTCAGGAAGAGTTACCTGAGTAAAGCATACTATTACAAGTTCAATCTTTATATGGCAAAACCATGTTTTTTTCATAGAGGCATATAAACAAATAATAGCAGTTATAATGAGTAATCTGAAGTGAACTCACTCTTGTCTGCTCTACCTGGGAGTAAAGTACATTCCAGAACAACCCATGTTATGGAGAAATAGACATTACAAGAATCTTAATCTTATTTACTTGGAGTTTTCTCACAAGGTCTCAGAAATCTCACACAGCTTCATTTCATGGACTGTGTTCTAATATCTCCTCCTTTTTAATTTGTTAATATCAAGCCAGGCAGTGGTGGCACATGCCTTTAATCCCAGCACTTGGGAAGCAGAGGCAGGTGGATTTCTGAGTTCGAGAGTTCAAGGCTAGCCTGGTCTACAGAGTGAGTTCCAGGACAGCTAGGGCTACACAGAGAAACCCTGTCTCGAAAAACCAAAAAAAAAAAAAAAAAAAACCCTCAAAAAATTGTTAGTATCAGGAGACACAGAATGGTTGAGATGTTGTAAGATGAATCTAATTGCCATTTGAAGCATGAGTATCCTATAAGAAAATAATCTATAATATTAGAATAGTGAAAGCATTGTGTATAATACTGTGCCACCAAAAACTGAGACCCAAACTATGTCCAGTACTATTAGTTACATTATTATATTGATCAGAAAAAACTAGAGAATAGCTTGAAAAGAGACCCACGTGATTAATAGTTCTGGTATCTGGTAAAACATAAGCCTGTATATACCTTCTAATAGGAATACAAATGTTATGCTGTCCTATGCAACTAAGAAGAGATTTAAATCTCAAGGAAAAATTAAACACAACCCCTTCTCATAGACTCATAACCTCATAGACTCAAAAATGAGTCTATTATGATTCCAAGGTCCCAGAGTCATTAGTAAAATAACTTCTCCTTTGGGTGCATAGGGCCTTAATTTGGCCCCAGGTGGGCAGACTTGACTTTTGAATATGGTTGATACCTTCTTTGCCCTTCAGCTGGAGGCTTGCTATTTTTATGGTGATTGCTGCTGTTTCCTTGCCCTCTGCTGTTTACTGTGATGGCCTGGGTCTGGCAGATGGGAAGATGAATCTGCAGTGTCCATCTACAATGCCAGATGCATACCCATCCCAGTTTTTTTTCTAGAGAAGAAATGCTGCACATTAATGCATCAGCTTGCTTATTTCCTTCTGCATTAAAACCAGAGGGGTTAGCCTATGTAAGAGTATGAGCCTAATGCTAGAAATAATTCTATAATAACAAACAGAATCTGAAATGATATTTAACTAACTATAAAAAATGAGTCAAAACAGCCAGTTCCACCTGTTGGACCGAGGAAAAGGAAGTATTAATAGATTAATGAATATCTGGGCCATGAATCCCTTTTATACCAGTAGATGAGCCATCAATAAAATTAGTATCTACTTGTGGAATTGGAGAAGGTTGGACAAGTTTTGTGATTACAAATTTAGTTCGTATGAGAAAATCCAGGGTTTGCAAGCTGAATAATGATTTCCTATTCATCAATAATAATTTGCAAATGAAACTTGAAATCCAGAGTTGTGTAACATTCTTAAAAAGTGATTGCTAGTTAAGGGTATTATAATACAGCAAGGACCAAATCCATATAATTGTTGACATCTGGTTCTCCCCTGATTTACTAGCTGAGCAGTTAGCATTTTATGGCCCTTATGGTATAAATAGGTCCATGCCAAAGTTTTATCCTCCTGTGTTATAATGCCTGTAGGAGACAGTTTAGTGGGAAAATAAGTAAGTTTAAAGGCAGTGAAGGATCTACGTGAATCACAAATGCTTCTTTTTGTTTGGATTCAAATAGCTGTAGTTCTTTCCTTGCCTCTTGAGATAATATGCAAGGACTGACCAAAGATGCCTCTCCTTCTGGACATATATATATATATATATATTTGTTAGTGCAAAATTAGGTAAGCATTTTGATTTTGCTGAAATTGCACTGAAAATACCAAGTGCAGTTCCTGAGCCTGGAGAAGAATTGGTAAACAAGTTCCATTTTCCTGATGTGCCCTAAACTTGCCTGGATTGTAAAAGTAGCTTTTTCATAGGCTCTCCTGAATCCTTGTCAGAAAGGAGAGAGAATTCAAGAATAGATTGATTATTAAATTCCCCACCTCTCAGGGTCATTTACAAGCAATGGAGACTCCAGTAAGGGAGCTGAGGGAAATGGCATAGTTGCTGATGGATCTGGTTTTACTTTCGAGCCTGAAAGTAAAGCTACTAACGCCCCTAAAGTAAACTATACAATCATAACACCAGCTGTGCATGACAAACACGTCTTCATAGAAACATATTAAACAAATGGGGAAAATCTTTTTTGCCAAGTTTGAGGTTTTTTGTATTCATTCAAGGAATTGGTCATCTCTTCTCCCATGGTTAAGATCCTCCTTATCTTTCTTAAGTATTTTGATAACAGTCTGGATTAATGCCTAGTTACCCAAAATGGAACAAGGATCTTTCCCCCTTGTTGTTGTCTCCTCAATATTGTTTCAGACTCTGTCCCAAACTTCTTTATCTAAAGTTCCTTCTTCTGGAAACAAGGAATTAAATGAAACACAATGTACAAGCAATCTAATAGTTGTTATTTTCATACTTGTGCTCCTCCTTCTTTAAGGAATGATGCAAAAGCTAGACATAAGGCAAAGCCTTCCCTGGTTTCTGTTCCATTATGCTCACTTACTCCTTCTGCGAGGGTCCCCACTCTCTTACCTCATAGCTGACTTCAGGTTCCTGAGTCCTGGTACTCCTCTAGCTAACAGTGTGAACCTGGGAGAGCAAGGCCTAAGAGGTGAACCAAAATCTCATTACAATAGCCAACTTTATTAGAGCATCAGATAATCTAAACTCTAAGGGTTAAGAAGAGTCACTTGAGGTAAAGTATACAATCACAGGACTAGCTTCACCTGGCAAAAACATGTTTTCCATAGAGGCATATAAACAAATAATAGCCAGTTACAACAAATAATCTGAAGTGGGAGGGGCATGAAAGCATGGGAGGGGCATGAAAGCACATTCCGAGAACAACCTATATTATGGAGGAATAGAGATTACAAGATTCTTGTTTTGTTTACTTGGAATTTTCTCACAAGGTCTCAGAGATCTCACACAGTTTCATTTATGGGCTGTGTTCTTTCTGAATAGTCCACCAACTGGGAACCAAACATTCAAG